TGCTTTCCACATAGCTTATATGTATTTCTCGACAGACCAACGAAACACAAGTAAAACCCTTCACTGTAACAGCAAAATTCTCCTTTGAAACGCATTGAATATAAACTAACTAGGTACTCTTAAAAGCAGAAGCCACGGAATCCAGACAAGTGTCAAAGCACGCTATGGTTTCATTCAGAGAGCGTGGAATGAATGATGACGTCACGTACGCAGTGATAATATAAGCCTAAACCAGATGTATCATGGGATACTATTCGATCGTCGTCTGGCATTCTCGTAAGAGCCTTGTTTCGTCGTCAATCTCGCGGTGTCTACGAGTTGTTGTGCTCCTGAATGCCACCAGAAGGAATAGAAATCTTCCACCGTTTGGCTCTAAGAGAAAATAGTGGATCTGGAAATCGTCACTATCGTCAACGAAGCGAAAATCCATGTACCATTTTTAAATTCGACAGCCACTGATCATATCCAGTTGCCAACAGAACCCCAATCTTTAACAACGCATTAACCAGCTTCAAAGGAAAATATTGAAAGTAAGTTCCATTTGTAACAAACCCTAACAGCTTGTTATTAAGATGGTTGCCATCCATTCGGCGGGCCAATGTCAAGAAACTGTAAGGGAGTATAATTCCTTTCTCAAACCGGGTACTATCCTCTTCGCAAAATTTAATGAAGCTAATTTTGTTCAACATTTTTTGAAACACCGAGAGCCCATCATCCGCAAATACAATATCAAAGCCAGATGTCTACAAATTATTTTAATATTAGGATCTCTTTTTCTTAAATCCCCGTAAAACAGAAAATTAATTAACTAACATCTATATCTGAATTGTAGTTCGATTCTCCATCAGTAGGGACGGATTGATCGCGAAGCACAACTGACTAGACTACTACGTACTGTTCGTAGAAAACCACAGCAACTTTCTTATCAAAAATGTATCTCATATACAGTTTAAAAACTGAGCGGAAAGGTGTAACATTTGTTAACATTATTCGAATTATTAAATCAGTCTTCAATTTCAAACAGCACTCGTTGAACATCAACGAAAAGTCACTTTATAGCGCGTAAAACTATAATTTAAGTCTGCATATTCGTGCTACACTCTGGCACCAACTGGCACATAATACGCACATCATTCAAACATATCTCACAAGAAAGTAAAATTCATTCCTACCGTGAACACCTAATACATGTCCAACCATTCACAAGCGAGATCTTCAACCATAGTGTTAAAATAAAGGTTTTATGTTATGTTTATGTTACAGACAACGGATGGTTCCATCGGTCACGGAACTGTAAATATAGTTTTGGTGCTCGCTTTGTGCCAACATACACCCTCCGTCTTTATATGTTACTGAAGATCCGGCGAAATAATTGCTATTGTTTCGTATTGAGAGCCACATCCAGTACATTAGGTTCAGGGGTTTTGGAAATTAAGAACTGACAAGCCGACATGAACGGTTATATAATTAGCCGAAGCAAAGCGACGCTCAGTAACGGTTGATTTGACACAACTTTTAATAGGGATGATTAAACATTTTAAATTTTGGTGGTTTCGATAGC